AGAGAATTTTTAATATTTATTTTTTAGTTCTCGGCAGACACAACATCTTTGTTGGTATGTGGTGCTGAGGATCATCGAACCCAGGTCGCACGCATGCCAGGGGAKCGCGCTACCGCTTGAGCCACATCCCCAGCCCAGAAAAGGGATTATTTATATAATTTTTACATAGCTTAAGTTAACTTCCTTAAACTAGAGATCCATTTAGCTCAGAATTCTGTCTAAACATTTTAAGATATACTTACTTAAAGAGATTGTCCATCAGGTATCTATAGTTAGGTTGACCACTTTCAGGCATAAAACAGACAGCAAACACAACAATGGCATTTAATCCATCTCCATAATATCCTGAAAAAGAAATCAAAGACAAAATCACTAGCATGATTTTACTCTTAAGATTTTTTTTAGAGGACATCAGTATGATTGATAGAAAATAATCAATTAGCACAGTTAAAGAGCCATATTTTAGCAAGTAGACAAATAACATGATATAATCCAAAAAGACACAACATCTGAAATAAACATTTTATGCAACTTAACAGTTAAAGTGGGTGTTTTCTAAAAGTTAGTTTTATTTTCAACAATGCCTAATGTTTTGTGGAATTGAGGAGATCAGAACCAAGAAAGAATTATATCTCTGACATAATTCTCAGTGGAAAAAAAAGGTACTAATGTGTTTCAACTGCAATATTTAGATATTAAGCTGTATTCAGTAACAATATTTTTGCTTTAACCATCATTTCTATTGTTTCTTAATATGAACTGAAAAGACTGAACATTTCAAGAGCATTAGAATCTTCACTAACTTTCCTAATTCCTCAATTACAAAATACATTAAGTGTAATTGTCCAATATAATTATTTTCCTGTATAAAAAATAAAGTGCTATTTTTGAAAGATATTAGGTTTAAATCATAAGGCAGGTCTCACAACTTTATTTCTACCAATGAGCTGAATTAATGCATGTTGGACTTCCTGATTCAGATTATCCTGTTTCCTTCATCTGAATAAGATTAAATTAGGCAGAAGAATATTACTGCAAATATTCAAGTGATTTGCTTTCAGATGAATGAAGATTGTAGAAATAAGCAGGGGAATGCATTTGGCAGAAAGTAAATCAAGCAGAAATGATTCTATGTAGAAAATAAAATCAGCTTGTATGCCTCTGTCCAGTGTTAGGAGGATTTAAAGAAACAAGACGTGCTCTATAGGATGATTTGCATTCTGACTTTCTGGCACTATTTACACAGTACCCAGGTTAACTTCTATATATGGTACAGTCAGACTGACAGGAACTTGTACTTTCCTAGCTGTCCCATTTGACTAGAAAATCTCCTAAGGGAAGGAACTAAACTTTATTATTTTTGAATACCCCATAAATATGCAACATGGATGCTCTACAAAATTATAGAATGAGCTAGTTCTCTAGTAAAGCTAAATGGTTTGTTAAGGGCTTTAAGGTAAATTAGGAGTTACAGTTTACTAATATCAATCCAAGTTTTACTAATATCCAAGAAAAAATTTGTATAAGAATGTTCACCAACAGTCATATTCATAGTCCAAACTGGAAGTGATACACATGACTATCAAAATGAAAATGGATAAATAAATGTAATTCATTTATGCAATGGGCTAGTATTTGGCCATATAAAAGAATAAACTATAGCCAGGCATGGTGGTGAATGCCTGTATTCTTAGCTATGAGGAAGACCGAGACAGGAGGATTTCAATTCCAGGCCATACTGGGCAATGAAACTGTAAGAGTGTCTCACAATAAAAAATAAAAAGGGCTAGGGATGTAATTCAGTGGTATAACATCCCTGTATTCAATACCTGGTAGTGGGGGTAAAAAAGATGTGTGCAAGAACATGAAGGAATCTTAAAAACATGCCGAAGAAGAGTGGTAAACAAGAATGCATACTATGATTTTGCATAAAATTCTAGAATAGGCAAAACTAATCACAGGGGTAGACATTAGAGTAGTGGTTACCAGAGAGGGGGAATTCATTGGAAAGGGTTATTAAGAGAATTTTATGGGGCAATGAAAATGTTCTATATGTTCAGGAGTGGGCATATGTGATTATGTAAGTATTTGTCAAAACTCATTGAACCATATATACTTAAGATCACAGCATTTTATTCTATATAAATTATAAATGCATACAAAGGGGAGAATTAATAAACTCCCTGTTTTAGGTGGTATAGAGATAGGGGCAGATGGGAAATAGTTTTCACTGCCTTTATTTTGGTACTTTTTGAACTTACTATATGCATATATTAATAATTCTTAAAAATTAATTAATTCATTTTGTTACACATGACAGCACAATGCTATAAATTATAGTTCATATTACACATATAGAGCACAATTTTTTTATCTCTCTGGTTGCATATAAAATATATTCACACCATTTGTGTCTTCATACATGTAGTTAGGGTAATGATATCCATCTCATTCCACCATCTTTTTTATCCTCATGCCTCCTCTCTTCCCCTCCCACCCCTCTGCCCTCTCTAGAATTTGTCTATTTCTCCCATGCTCCCCCTCTCAACCCCACTATGACTCAGCCTCCCTATATCAGAGAAAACATTCAGCATTTGGTTTTTTGGTTAACAATTTTTAAATGTAGGTTTTTTCCTTTTACTTCAAACCTGTTATGTTCCTAAAACAATAGGAGAAATATTTATTATAAAAGTTATGCAAGATCTCTGGGGATATTTTCTGAAAGCATACAGAGTTCTGATGTTGCATTAAAAAAATCTGAACAAACTTCAGTAACTTTTACCTCCATGACTGATAACTTTTTTATAGGGCTCAATTGCCTTCATATCAACCCTGTGGTCCTGTTCTCCAATCCTGAACATACGCCAGCGTCGTCCATCTTCTTTTTCTTCTGCTGCTGAATATTCAGTGATTGAGCCTTTCCTAATTACTTCTGTTGTTTTGGGTTTTGGAAGATCATCTGTCAAAATAAAAGGGTTTTGAATCACAAATTGTTATTTCTATAACAAAAATCAAGTTATAAGTTAACCACTTCACTATCTAGATTAGTTAGAGATTTCTTTTTTCTTTTGAGATGTGGTCTTTATTGTCCAGGCTGGCCTCAAACTCCTGGGCTCAAATAATCCTCTCCTGGGCAATTGGAACTAAAGGTGTATGCCACCATGCAGAGAATTTTTGCTACACTGTCTGTGGAATTTGAACTATCCCTTCCATAATACAGGAAAAGGCTTGCTTTTAATTTAAGGCCATTTATTCCTTTGGGAATCACAGTTTTATAAAACTTTTTATTGCCCAATTCAACAAAGACAGTTAATCACAGTGCAATGTCTATCAACAAGTTCAGGAAAGACAATTCATAGAGCCATATGAGTCTTTAATACATTGACCCTTCAGGCATTTCCAGATCTCTCTTACGATAGCACTATCCAAGACAGTTACTACCACAGGTCACTTCAAGTAACTGAGAGTTGATTTCTTTTTTAACACATAAATTATTTCCTCCAAATTGTAATACCAGATAGAAAGTGGTTAACTACTCAATAATCATTTCTCATTTGATCAGTTTTATGAAGCAGAAAAGTATTTATAATATTAAGAAGAATACATGCAAAAGTCTATTTAAATTACCATTAGCAAAAGCATAAGCATCAACGATTAGATSTAATTTATATTTCAAGATTGCAGTAGCTGATTTTTAATGAAATAATGATTTTCAAAATTTTAGTATCATAGTCCTTACCAAAAGATGGGGGGAGGGGAAACCTACTGCATGTTAGTTGTTTGTTTCCAAGACAAAGCTGTTAACGAAAATATCCTTCCAGGAAATGACTACAGCAGCATTAAAGAAAGAAGAGACAAAACACATAGGCAGAAAACTATTTCAGTATCTTATAAAATATTGCTTGTTACTGGACTGCTTATTGAACCAGTAAAACAGGGAAGAAGAACAAAAGACACAGCATATCACCTTCACTGCAGATAAAATACCTACTGCTAAACACTGCTTTGAAAAAAAAATCACTTTAAAGATAAATAGATATAAAAATTATTAACTATATAAAAATGTAATAAGAATTGTAATTTTTTCCCCTGTTATATATAAATAAAAAACCCAATTATTTAACTCAAGAAAGCATGCAAAACAAAACACATGCCAATTCCTTTGAATTCTAAATAATTAAAATGATAAATATCAGGTTTGGGGGCTAAGAGTATACATTAATTCAAGTTGGTAATTTCATAAAGTAGAGCACTAYCCAGGCAACCTACTTTAAAATCACCCTCCTAAGTCTCCCTTCAGAACCTCCTCTCCACACTTTTAGCACATTCCTTATTATATGTCTCTTGGAAGGATTTTTTTCCTTACTTGATCAACTGAAAAAGACCTAACTATCCAGCAATATTTTTTWATGCTGATAAAAAGAAACAAAAATTGAGCATTACGAAGAAAATACAGCTACATATATAATCTACTACAAACAGTTTTGAACACTATAAAATATTTAGATRTTTGCAGAAATTTTAACTTAAATATATGAACACTGAAAAGAATAACATTTTGAACAAAATCCTCTAATACATGGGTTTTAGTAGGCTTCATGATCAAAATTTTAAGGCTTATCAAGTATTTCCTAAAGAGAATACAACTGCAAAAACATGTGTCTATGTGCTTATATATATGTAAAGATAAACATTCATTAATAAAAAGATCAGATAAGCAGTAAAACAATTACCTTCCCACTCAAACTCATTACTGTTCTCTGATGGTGTATCCAAACCATCTAAGTCAATCTCCCCACTTTCATCCAAATCATCTGACAACACAGAGCCGTCACCGGGATCCAGTGTCAAGCTAATCTCTGGAGCCATTAGTTTCTTTCTTACTTTATTTCCATTAACTTCTAGTAAGCCTGAAAGTGGAAAACACACACACACAACAATAGTACAAGGAATGCTCAGATGATCAAGTTAAAAGAGAAACACTTCAGACACTTTATTCTTGAGAAAAACAATATTAAACAAAATCCCCAAGCACTGATTTATGAAACTTGAAAAAAAATTTTTTTAAACTGTCGACGGACCTTTATATATTTTTTTATTTATATGTTGTGCTGAGAATTATGAATCCAGTGCCTCACATGTGATAGGCAAGTGCTTTAACCACTGAGCTACAACCCCAGCCCAAAACCTGGAATTTGATAACTAATGCTATTTTTGGTGGTACTGGGGATTGAACACAGGGGTGTTCTACCAATGAGATTATTTTTATTTTTTGAGAAAGGGTCTCAGTAAGTTGTCTGGTCTGTTATGGAATTTGCAATCTTTTGGCGTCAGCCTCCCAMGTAGCTGGGATTACAGGCATGGGCYAACCTGCCCAATTTCATCACTATTTATATCATTGGCAAGAAAACAGTGAGGTAACAGACAGACTTCGCAGTCACCTTTACCACTAAAAAACTATTTCCTCCTACTTGTAAAAACTTCTAAAAACTGAGGATTGTCCTTTATTTTGAGAGAGAGAGAGAGAGAGAAATTTTTAATATTTATTTTTTAGTTTTCGGTGGACACAACATCTTTACTTTATTTTTATGTGGTGCTGAGGATCGAACCCAGCGCCCCGCGCATGCCAGGTAAGCCGCTACTGCTTGAGTCACATCCCCAGCCCTGAGGATTATGTTTTTGAGGGTTAAATTCCCCATGCACTTCAAAAGTGTTTTCCTCAATGTTCAATTTATCCTTTGGCTCCTTAGGATGGAGTAAAAGCTCATTGTGGCGTTTTTTTTTTTTTGTGTGTGTGTGTTGATAAAGAAATATGTTAAAAATAACACCAAGTCCATTGGCAGTACAGGTATCAAATTCTTACCAGGCTGGCTCTCTGGTCCAGTTACATCTAGTATATCTGCTTCAATACTATCATCTTCTGGTAAAGGTCTGGAAGACACAAACATACTCTTTAATGCAGAAATTAAAATTTTTTGAAGCTTAAAGATCTGTTAAAAATAAAGCTTATATGGGGCTGGGGATGTGGCTCAAGCGGTAGCGCGCTCGCCTGGCATGCGTGCGGCCCGGGTTCGATCCTCAGCACCACATACCAACAAAGATGTTGTGTCTGCCGAGAACTAAAAAAAATAAATATTGAAAATTCTCTCTCTCTCTCTCTCCTCTCTCTTTAAAATGAAATAAAATTAAAAAAATAAATAAATAAAAGCAATCACACTAAGGTGGAAGGACCTGATATTAAAAAAAAAAAAAAAAAGAAATTTTAGAAAAAAAAAAAATAAAGCTTATAGTAACAATTACATGGAAAACAGAACAATGCTGTTTCTTAAGATTTGGTAATTTACAAATCAATTTTTTAGAAAATTCTGTTGGGGTTACTTATATGTCTGTGACACATAAAAGTATATATAAATTCTTTATTCAACAGCTCTTATCCAATTATAAGACATAAAAATTATTAAAAAAATCATAAAACGATCCAAATGGATAAATATGATGTGGTGCATGATCATCACATAACAAAGCTACTTGCTTACTTACAATGAGAATATGGTAATGCTGGCTACAATCTGTTTGAGTTTGGCATTTCCAAATTACTATCATCATCATGTGCTAAAATGACTCAGTTCTCCCACCTGCTCCTGCTGTCCATATGCCAATTGCTAAGGTACCTTACTGGGTAGTATGTTTTCTGATCATGATGGCACAAAAAGCATCATTTAAATAGAAGGCCTTTCTTTGCAAAGTGTCAAAGGGGCTAGTCAGATGATTCAGAAGATCCTTGTTTATTTATTTACTAAGTTTTTTTCTTACAAACAACTTAAAACTCCCTTCTCCTAGAAGCCTCTCATATTCGAGTTCTAAAARTCCCACATTAAAATATTGTTCATTAGACAAATATTTTGAAACTTAAATGATCAAAACAGTTAAGAAAAATAAAAATTACATATATGTTGAGATGGAAGAAGAGAATCATTCCCAACTACTGCAAAGGAACTTTCAATTCCCAGTATTTAATAACCACCTTGTTAATACTATTTTTTTAARAAAACCTAATATTCATTAAGTAACATCTCAAAAAAAAATTCTGAAGTTTTGTTCTACATTTGTTTTCATCAAAAAGCAATGCTCACATTGGAAAATCTTCATCTTGCCATTCTTCTTTCAGTTCTACACCTTCCATTCTCAGCCTGGATTCAATGTCAACTATTGACTCCTGATAATCCAGAGAGCCAATGTCCTGTGAAAAAAAAAATTGACAATAATTTAATTTCCATTTCACATATTTATTGGCTGTAAAGGTGCAATCTAATACCTTAGTATAATTTTCAGTTGCATATATGCAAATTGTGTCTCAAACTGTGATTTAAATTGCATTAAAAAATTGAGGTAAGATAAGAAATTATAGTTAAATACAGGACTGGGTGTAGTTCAGTGGTAGAGTACTTGTCTAGTATGCCCTGGGTTCAATCCCTAGTACTGAAGAGCTTGATTCTAGAAATTGAACACTAGTAAACAATATTTATACTCAAAAGATTTAGCTGAGTCAAGTAGTATGCTACCATTTAYATTTTCTTTATAGCTTTGATGCCACAATTCTTGAATCAGTCTACTTAGTAACTTGTCCAGTAAACAGAATTAGGCTAACTTTTGATCTGCTTCCTATGTATACCATGTTTTTTCACACAGTGTAACTTTTCAGACTGAACTTAGTGGTATTTTACTGTAAGCAATTATATATTTTAACTTGTGTTATAGACTTTTATTTTAATTTTTTAACAAAGGGCATGAATGCCCCCCCCCCCAATCCTCATTTTACAAAGTGAGGAGTCCTGAGATCCTCCCTTTGGTTGATGGAGTAAGTTGATAGATATAGAAGTCATGAAAAGTGGCTGGTAAAGAGTGCAACAAAAACAGTGACAAATACAGGCAATGAGGTATATATATATAAGTATTTAGTTCATTTACATTAGAGTGAATCAGTAGATGAAGTTATTTAAAAAACAGCAGTAACATATTTCTTAAGACCCATGGAACATGACTAGAAGTACTAAAAACAAAGTTAACAAGTAGCTGATGCCAATAGAAGAGGAAAGAGGGTGGTATGGGGAGAAAGATTCATAACACAGCAAGTCTTTACTGTTTTCATAATAAGCCTTTCTACACTATTTGATTTTTTTAAAACTATGTGTATAATTTAAAAAAGTACTTTTCAAATAAAATAAATGATACCAGCTATACCAGTTGTTCTTCTAAAACAAAGATGTGGTCTTGTTTTATGTTCACCTTATGTCATTACAATACTCAAAGAATATAGTAAGTCGTACCAAAAACAGCATATGTTCCAGGACAACAAAATTACAATGGAGATTTCTTAAGTGTTTTAAACTTCACATGTTAAACTAAATTCTGTTCTCAGTCAAGACTGAGAGGGTCTTCCCAGTACACATCCAGAGGAAGGTTTCAAACATTCCCAAAAGGTTTTACGTTTTTGAAGACCTACTCACTGGCACAGGAAAAAATGGCAGATGTTGACTTTTCCTCACAAAAACATTTGCTTGGAAAAATTAGTTTATTATGTACAGGAATAAGGAATTTTTAATTCTGAGAAAACAATGAGCCAGGCAATTTGGAAAAATTAATGGGGAAAAAAAAAGACTTAAAATACAATGATCTTGATTTATTTAGCAATTTCTGTTTCTAATACATAATCTATACTGTATTAATATCCATTTTCAATGATGACTTTATAGATTTCGTTCTGACAATAATCTTTTTCTGTAAAGAGGATGAGAATCAATGGGAGTAGGGGACACAACTGTCTTACCAAACAACCCCTTCTGTTTAGATAATGAATTGAAAAAAAGACTAGTTTCTTCTAGATGGTTAATTTGCTGTATTTCTTAATGTTTTCTCAAGTCTTTGGTACTTGCTCTACAGTGAACAAATATATTTCTCTAAATTCAATATAATCAGAGATGCTTCCCATTATCTTGTCTCACTTTTCTATAATTGGAAAAAAAATTAGGATGTTCTGGGTTATCTTTCTCAAATAGTTCAAATAATCAGAAAATATTTAATATTTACAAAATAACAGCAATGACTGAAAGTTGCAATCATTATATTCCCAACTCCTAGAACACTGCTTGGCACATTTCAGGCCTACAAGTGGAAAAATACTTAATTGTAAGGTATGACACTGGATAGAAAACTGTTGTTCAGCCTTAGGTTTATTTTGCTTGTTAAATAAGATTCTTGTTATGTTTTACCCTTCAAAAATGTAGTGAAAATACTTTGTAGGAACCCACATATGTGCAATATAAATTTCTGTTGGCAAAATTATTCCTTATTTGTAAGAAGAAATATTTCTACTGTGAAAATCTAGAAGAAAAACCAAGTCTTGTAGCTAATTTACCACTTGAACAAGCTTATCACTTGCAAAACGCTCCTTTAAACACAGAAAGCCAAGTCTTTCAGTTATTTCAACCTACGTATTCAACTTTTACTCTAAAATATTGAATGATGTAATGTTAATACATCTCAGTTATGTTGTTATGGACATTTAGTTTGATGGTTAATTAATTAAGCTAGTTCAACAGAATATGAGAGTGAGAAACATGATTAACTCCACCTTTCAACAAGAACTTTAGGAGAACAGTACATTAGGTAGATAAAAACAATTTCAACAATTCAGAGAACTGTTCTTGGAAGCACTTTATCACCAAGCAGCTGTAAGAACAGGAAACAAACAAGAAAGGAGTTAATGTAAGCACAACCACTTTGAAGGAAATCAGGATATTGCTGACTCACAWGTTAACTGTGGTTGTTTCCCATTTTTTGTTCAAAGATTTTTCTTTTTTAAAGGAGAATGGGGAAATAATACTTTACTATGTTACTTGTGAAAATAACCTAATACAAAAGAAATAATCTGATTTCTCAATAGATTGGTGGTAGTGATAGCATATCCTTATTTATGGTAGATATCTGTGGAGGTCATAATAATTAATTTCAGTCTTTGACATCAGTGAGATTAAAAATCAAGGAGAGAATGGATTTCCTTCTAATAGCTTCAGAAGGGAATTTCCACGCATAGCTGAACAAGCAAAAATTAAATATTAAGATCATATTTAGAACTGTATAGACTATAACTTATAATTGTACTCAGCAATTTTACTATTACGTGTAGTTTAACACTGCTTCTAGAATAGGTGCAAGTAATGACCATCTCTGCTGAAATCAATTACAGCTTGCAGAAAGAAAACCCAGATAAGTCTTTTACTTACCCATTTAAAAGAAAATGTTTCATTCTAAAATATTGGTATTCACTTTTTAATGAACAGCCTGCATATTTATGAAGATCATTAAGACATGCCTGAAAAAAATCCTACGTGTTTGCCTGCCATTGCTCCCCTTGGGATCAGGTAGGTTTCTAAGAATGCAATGAGATCTCTATCAGAAATGTTAACACAAAATTTAAAGAAAGACTGTGGAGTGGTGTTGACATTTCACATAAGTGTGGAAATAAAGTGCAGAATAGTTATGCCACCGACATTTACTAAATTTTCAGTGTGCAGAATATTCTAGAGATGCTCTGATACCTCTAAAAACATTAAAATCTAACACCTRTAACAGAGTTATAATTTTGGTTATAATATAAAACTATAATTTTGAAATATTACTATTCTGTTCATAAGATGTAAGGTTAATGAGATACCTTTTTATCCTGTCAAAGAGAATTTATCAGATGTATGCATGTGTGTATACACATACACATACATACACACACACTCTCTTACTTTCTGGATGCCTTCCCCCCTTATCACTCCATCAGCCTACAATGGATACAATAGATAGAACAACTGTCCCAAAGAGTGCTTTTCACATTTAATAACCACTTTTGTTTTTTCATCTCATATGTTTCAATCAACAACTTTGTAAGGTATAAAACATTGGTGTTATCATTTTCATTTTATCTTATTTATATGAGTCAAATGACAACACACCCTCCTTCCCAGATATGGACCAGAACTATTTCTATTATAGTACACTGTCTCCAGTTCACTGGCAACTTTATACAAAATAAATCTGTAATGCCAGATTTGGTTGCACTTGGCTTCAAAAGTCCTGTAATGCCTAACAACCATAATAGTTTTTTTGTTTTGTGATAAGCTAGTTTAACTTTCATGTACAGAGGGTGGGTCTGTAATAGTTCCTGTACATGCCCAAGATATTAGGCTGCACTAGAAACTATTATGAAGACTAGAATAAGAGTTTAGAGAGAATGTAAATGACAAGATCTAAGGAGAAAATGTACAATATAACCAAAAAACTACTAGTTTGCAGGAACTTAATTGGTAATTTTGGCTATGACTTCCGAAAGCTTACACATTCACAAATTACATAATTTCTTTTACAATTGCAGAAATTTTTATAAAACATTTGGAAAGATACATTTAACTGCAAATACGAAATCAAACATTTCGAAAAAGAGAGCCTAATTCAAACAAAGTTGAGGATGAAAAAAGCAACACTAAAATGCAAAGACACACTTCATTCAACTAATGGGAGGCACCATGACTACCTTGATGGAGCACTACAAAAGCAGTGCCCTCAGAGTTGCCAGGACAGACAAAGGAAGTTTCAAAGAAACCTAATAAAGACCCAAATATGTTTCTGACTTAATATGAYCTGGTCTAGTAATTATACTTCGGGAAAATCCAAACCATTTTTTCCTAGATATTTAAACAAGAAAGGCGTGGTGAAAACACGCAGGACTCAGCTTTTCATGTACACACCTATATTTGTTTTAGCTTCCCAGAAGATCTATTAAATCCCTGGTTACTTATGCTGTTTCCGTGTCTATCCCCCGAGGGTATGAGGCACACCAGAAGTCCAAGTTTCTTTGTTCTGCACCTGGGCCGACGCTGGTCATAAATAAGGAACCAAAGTTGTCCGTCAGCGCACCAAAGGCTGGGGTGGCGGGGGGAGTAGAGAAGAGGGACGATTCCATCTCAGGGACAACCATCAAACGGAAAAGCAGGAGGCGGGTGGGGGCAGGGAGCGGGTGTTGGCAACCGCGAGCAGAACCCAGGGCGGGGACCTAGGCTGGGCSGGGATCCGGAAAGCACCTCCGGAGCAGGTTCCGAGGCGCCCCCTACAACGCACACCCCACTGGGTTTCCCCTCCCCGGGGGGCGGTGGGCACACGCCCCACAGGCGTACGCCCCCAGGCTCGTTCCCAGCCCGGACTCGCAGTGCCGGGTCCTCCCAGGCCGCACTAACCCCGGAGGAAGCCTTGGCCCCCTCGTCCTCTTCGCCCCTCCAGGCCGGCGACGTGGGGCTGACGGCCAGGTCGCAGAAGGCGGCAACGAGCGGAGCCCGCTCCCCTCGATCAGCGGTAGAAAGTCCAGCCCCGTTTCCCGGCCGCAGCTGTAGAAGAGGCGACAGAAGCTGACCCGGACGCAGTGAGATGCCCCAGCGGAAGTGACTACCTCCCGGCCTTCTCTAGGCGCGGCAGCAGGCGGAAGCGGAGGCGTGGTGTCATTTTGAAACCCAMGGCGTCGCCCCGCCCCCTGGGCGGTCGCAGGCTTAAATTAGCATGTGCGCGCGCGCCCTGCGTTCCAGCTGGTGGGGCTGGTGGCTAGGACGCACCACTGGACTCTCGGTGCTTCCTCGGCTTTTGCTGTTAGCTGGGATGCTGGCCTGCAGTTGCGACGAGGCATTTTTTTTTTCTGCTTGTCTCTATTGATCGTCACAATAACTGTGCATTACAAAATGGATAAAGGGGAGGAAAAATTTCCGATGCTTCATTTTGGAGAGCTGGACATTAGAGGAATCCTTAGAGTTTGGTAATATTCCCCAGTGTGAACCGCTTGACAGCAGTGCTTCCCAAAATGTGGGGAGCAAAGCCAGCCTTAACTACTTAGCGAGGCCCTAAGCTGCTCAGCGAGAACGCCATCTCTAAAAAGATGATGATGATATAATAATAATAATATAATAATAATAATAAGAAGAAGAAGAAGAAGAAGGCGACTGGTAATGTGGTTCAGTGGTTAAGTGCCCCTGGGTTCAATCAAGGTGGATCCCCACCTCCCCCCACGTGTGGGGAGCGATTAATCTTTTTTTTTTTTTTTCCCTAGTTAGTTGTGGATCAGATTTTGATAAAACAGAACAGAAAAGTTAAAAAAAAAAAAAAAAAGACCCGCACAAAATCCAAGTCAAAACATTTTATTAGTAGAGCACGGGACATAAAGTTACTTGTAAAAATGCCGTGAAGGATCTCAATTTCTATACTTTTTTTTTTTTTTTTTTTGCTGTGGACCAATAAAGAACAATTCTCAGAAGAGGTGACGTCTGTGTACCACACTCAGAATCAACTGTCAGCTGGGACGCTGGCCTGATTTATGGTTTCAAGGAAATGAGATTACTTTGGAGAACATCATAATCCCTCTCAGAAGTTTCATCTACTAAATCTATACAAAAGTCCAGCCGTCAACTATTTGGGCAATTCTATTAGGAAATGAGAAGGCCTGAGAGGAACAGAAAAGTAAAAATTCAAATAATTGACTCAAAATGCTGTTGACTAGATTCATGTTGCTTTGGCAACATTTACTCGCTGTTGGCAGTTAATTAACTCTTCTGTGCTTCATCTACAAATGGGGGGAAATAATGCCTACTTCGTAGGGTTTTGTGAGATAAAGTGATTTGTAAGAATAGTGGTTGGCATGTTGTAATCACATATAAGCATTAGGCATCATTATCATCCTCCTAGTAATTTCCCTAAATAGCTGGTAGAGAAAACAAACTAATCAACAGAGCTTTAACTAAACAAGTTGGGTCATTTAAGAAATTTCATTCTTTGTTGCAGATTTTTCATAATTCCAAATTTTACTTTGTTTTGTAATGTGCAGAATTCCCCACAGGGTGGCAGTATTATTTGAAACCATGTAGAATTACGTGTTTTTGTGATCTTTCGTTTCTTCTTCATTTTAGTAACTTAAGCATTTAAGCTTTGATCAGTGTTTGGTTTTGAGTAAGCCATTATCCTATTTGTCTTTTCCCCCATMTTGATGAATTATCCACATGTATTGTTGAAACATTAGAAACTATAGGGAAACCAAAATAATAATCACGATTAATACATTTATATATATCTTTTCACATTTGTGTATACATATAACTATAAACTACATATGCTTTCATAATAATATATTTCATATATTAGTACATTATCCATATTTTTATGGATAATAATTTCATTATCCATAAAAATATGGATAATGTACTAATAGTTTACAATGTTATTTTTTCCTTTTTAATTTTTTAATTTGTTCTTTTTAGATATACATGACAGTAGAGTATATCTGGACATATTATACATACATGAAGTATAACTTATTCTAATTAGAATCCCATTCTTGTGGTTGTACATAATGTGGAGTGTCACTGGTGATATATTCATATATGAACATAGGAAAGTTATGTCCAATTCACCTATTTTCCTTTTCATATAAAAATATRTAATTAACTTCTTTTCAGGTCAATAATTATATTTCAACATCATAATATTTATTATAACTTATTTATTAGCAATCTTTTATGGAACAATTTTTTACAGTTAAAAAACATTTCTTGGTGTATTCCAAAAGTTGGAAACATAGGATTAACTTATATTCAAATAATAATGATACTTTGAAATAATATGCTCAATATACTTTTCTTCCACTTCTTACAAGAGTCTAATGCAATGGATCCAATTGTTGWTCTGAAAAAAAGAGAAAGTTATTAAAAACATACTATTTTCCCTGTATTTTTAGACTTTTGGAACAATGTTGAATGTATTTTTAAGATTACTTATTGTTTCTATATGCCTTCTTAAATACTTAAGATTCTTTTTTTCTTTTTTTTATTGGTTGTTCAAAACATTACAAAGCTCTTGACATATCATATTTCATACATTAGATTCAAGTGGGTTATGAACTCCCATTTTTACHMCAAATACAGATTGCAGAATCACATCGGTTACACATCCACATTTTTACATAATGTCCTATTAGTAACTGTTGTATTCTGCTACCTTTCCTATCCTCTACTATCCTCCCTCCCCTCCCTAGATTCTTAAAAAATGGAAAAAAAAAAAAGATTCAGGAAAAAAAGTATGGCTTCCAGACCTTAGGTAGAAGGTATCACTTAGAAAGTGGTACCTTAGCTTAGAGCTGCCATCAACCTTTTCCTTTGTGGTTTTTAGCTTTGGTCTTATGTTTAAATAGGCATTCCCCACCCAAAAATTATACAAATAGTTACTGTTGTTTTCTTCTGGTGGTATTATAGTTTCTATTTTTTACATAAGAATATTAAATTCAATTGGAATTTTATGTATATGCTTGTAATATGAAAAATGGAATCTGACTTTATTAAACTGATTGGTTTGCCTAATAACATTTATCAAAGCATCCAATAATTCTTGAACTCAACTAGGATTCAGCCAAATGAATATTTACTTTCTGAGATGTCATTTTAGGTTATTCACTTCTTTAAAGTAGCCAGTCATTTGATAGATTTTTATTGAACAATATTATAAGTCAGTGCTGTTGGACCCTGAGGATGCAGGAAAATAAGACCCAGTGTCAAAGACCTCAACAGACTACTTTGAAAGAGGAGCAAATGAAGATAATAAACACTTGGTGGACTGAGGTGATCTTGGTACTTCTAAGGTACACCTAAATGAATGGAGTTAAACAGATGGGAAGGAGAAGAGAAGAGTAAAGTGAGCCTTTCTGAGGGAAGAGATCTTGAGCTTAGTGACAAGAGAAATTCCCGTTTCAGAAGGAATGGCCTATGTAGAGATTTCTAGAGACTGTACATTGTTCAGTTATAGCACAAGTAGTGGGAGAGTGAGTAGTTGTGAACAGACCATGATGAAAATGGGTTGTCAAAGACAAAATTAAAAAGAAAATTTTTAATGGTAAGGATTTAATTCAGAGCCAATATAGTGAGCAACATGCAAAAGCAATCTATCATTACTGTATAATTACACTCAGCAAGAAGAGATTGAAGGATGTTTCTGTGTAATGACATAGTTCTCCTAAGAGAACAGCTTTGAGGGGAGCAATAGTCATTTGACTACGTGCTCTAGTATGTGTGTTAAGATTGTTCATGATTTCTTGTCATACTCCATAYATAGAAATAAAAGCACTCAGCCAACATCAACTTAAAGAGGTATTGAGTCTGTGCCAAGAATTATGGGACGTGATAAATGGTAAAAGGTATCATATAACCTATGCTAGCAGAGAATGACGTTATCAGACTCGGGGGAGAATAGGTCCTTTGCCACCTTTTTAAAAGTTAGAATGACAACAGTGTCTCAGGGTGACTGGTGGAGTGTCATTTCTCTGGGAAGCTCTGTCTGCTATTATACACATGTTTTCTTTTTTAAAAAAATATTTATCTTTTAGTTGTAGGTGGACACATAATATCTTTATTTCATTTTTATGTGATGCTGAGGATCGAACCCAGTGCCTCACATGTGCTAGGTGAGTGCTCTACCACTGATCCATAACCCCAGCTCTCTATATATGTTTTCCATAGGGAAGAACCACTGGTAGCCTGGGAGGTATTAATTACTACACACATTTTCTTTTCTTTTTTGATGATGATGATGATGTGTTGGCAACTTTTCCACATGGAAGCCATGGACTGGGTWTATATTTTATAACCTATTTCCATTCTCCACCAGGCCCACTCTTCCTTGAAAGTATGAGAATCTTGTTCTACCTTCTGTGCAACACACAGATTCTTGGATAGCTCTTTCTGCTTCTTTGTGCTTTGTTATTCCCATTGCTAATCCTTCCTCCTTCATCAAATCAGTCTCCCTGCATCTCTTCAACATTAAGAAATTTTGATGTGCTATTCTGTACTAAGAGGCCATGTTGTACTCCTACAAATTGTTTTGGTAAATAATTAAAAGGGCATCTCCTTACGTGGCTTTTCTGGTGTTCTTCTTTAAGTCCTGCCTGACAGATGACACAATCAAGGTAACTAGTAAGAGGAGAAAATTCTTATCAGGGTTATTACTAGCCTATGGTACAATTTTATGCAAAATAATCATCAGAATCCCTTATGTCTAGATGAAGCACCTTGGGGCATGGTTGGTGATCTGAATGCTGCCTTTTCTAATTCTCACATATACACTTTTGCATAAATTTTCAAAATATAGTCTTTACTTCAGGGCAGATAGAGCCTTGCTCCAGAACATGCAGCTCGAGAAATGGAGTGGTTCTTCAGTTGAATGCTGCTCACCTGCTTACAACCTGATCACCTAAACAGACTGGTCCACTAATATCTTGGAATTGAATGTAATTCTTTTACAAAAGAGCTCCTTTATTCTGTTAATAAAGCATTTTTTTGAGGATTTGTTCTGAACATGAAATGCAGTTTCTGGATACATTCATACATGGTACTTAATA